TGTTCAAATACGAGTTTTGCGATGCATAGGCAGCCTTGAAAATATATGGCAGTTGACATAAATTTGTTTAACTAACAAACGCGAGCAAATTTGGTCGTTTACCAACAAAGCAAAACAATTTCTTTATACTTAACTTTACTCACATTTGCTCTTGAAGCAAACAATCAAATAACCAGTTTTCTACACATTTGCTTCGTTTTCAAATATTAAAGATTATTCACATTTGCAGATAGTCAATTTTGTAGTAAATATTGAGTTTACTAACAGGTTTGCACGCATGCAATTTTAACGCAAATATACAACAGCACTAACATTTTACTCTGATCACCAAATCTAAATCAAAGACGGCATTTACCGGCTTTGCTTCATGCGCAAAACCGATGGCAAATCACAGATTTGTACTGAAGCAAATATAAGCAAATTGGAACAAATGTGGTATTTACTTTAAATTTGCTTCACATTTGCGGTGCAGGAAATCCATTATTCTATGCAGTGTTGGGGGTAAGAGAACATAAAGTGAAAGGACTAAAATGTCTGTCCTCTCCCTGCCTCYGGTGTCTGCTATCTGAGCCATCTACACTCTTTCGTACACTCTTTCTGCAGAGCAACTGTTGCCACAATCTCATTCCAGTCCAGCAACCTGTTCAGAGATTTGAGATCTTTGGAAGAGGGGGTTTATTTCTGGGCAACTATCTGCGGGTTTGCCACCTGTCCATGAAGATGTTTCATGACGGGAGCATCAGGGAAATGTGGTGACTGTTCTGGGTGCATAATTTATGCTGGATATGTTGAGGCAGCTGCTTGGTTAGCCATTGTGTTTGAAGATAATCGCCTGACCTCCTGACAATAAAATGTCAAATGTTAAATTGTACCAGGTTCTTGTTGGAAATTTCTGGGCTGGCCATGGTTAGCGCTTCAGACAACAGTTCTAATGTCCTTAACTCAAGGCCTCAACTTGGGGGTAAGAGAGCATAAAGTGAAAGGATTAAAATGTCTGTCCTCTCCCTGGCTCTGGTGTCTGCTATACGAGGCATCTCCACTCTCTCCTTCTGCAGAGCAACTGTTGCCACAATCGCGTTCCAGTCCAGCCACCTTTTCAGGGATTTGAGATCTTCTTTGGAAGAAGGGGTTTCTTTCTGGGCCAACTATCTGCAGGTTCGCCACCTGTCCACGAAGCTSTTTGATGACGGGAACATCAGGGATACCTGGTGACTGTTCTGGGTGCATAAGTTATGCTGGATATATTGAGGCAGCTGCGTGATTAGCCATTGTGTTTGAAGGTAATTGCCTGACCTCTTGACAATAAATTGTCAAATATGAAATTGTACCAGGTTCTTGTTGGAAATTTCTGGGCTGGGCATGGTCAGTGCTTCAGACAACGGTTCTAATGTCCTTATTTCAAGGCCTCAACTAGGGGGTAAGAGAACCTAAAGTGAAAGAACAAAGGTCTACCCTGTCCCTGCCTCTGGTGTCTGCTATCCGAGCCATCTCTACTCTCTCGTTCTGCAGAGCAACTGTTGCCACAATCTCGTTCCAGGCCAGCCACCTGTTCAGGGATTTGATATCTTCTTTGGAAGAAGGGGTTTCTTTCTGGGCAACTATCTGCAGGTTCGCCACCTGTCACCGAAGCTGTTTGATGACGGGAACATCAGGGAAATCTGGTGACTGTTCTGGGTGTATAAATTATGCTGGATATATTGAGGCAGCTGCGTGATTAGCCATTGTGTTTGACGATAATTGCCTGACCTCCTGAAACGAGTAAATTGTAACTATAAATTTGCTTCTTTCCTTCCAA